CTTTTTCTGGATTAGGCGGCACATAGGAGATGATTTGGTTAGCAAAGTCACATGTTTTGGTCCCTACCTCTGTGCCATGCTGTTGTTCAAATCGATAAAAATATGACCACGCATCACCAAAGTCAGGGTCAAGTTTGACAGCTCTGTGAATAGATAGACAAAAAAACTTGTCAATTCAAAACAAAGAACACTAGATAACAAGACAGCTGTCAATCATTAACTTTACCTGTTAAACCAATCACGTGCCTTGGAAACCTTACGTTCGCTCCAAAATAACCTTAAACAAATCAATATCATCACATTTACCGATAACAGTGGTCGTGTGGTCGTTCTAGAAAGGTTTTGTCTCACTTAGCGAAATGAGTCGTGTGGTCGTTCTAGAAAGGTTTTGTCTCACTTAGCGAAATGAGTGGTGTGGTCGTTCTAAAGAGGTTTCATCGCACTACAGCGACTCCCCTTTGCGGACACTTTGCGTTGTGGATAGAAGAAAAATTAACAGAAAAACGAACGGTTTTTTTACGCTAAATGTTGTGGTATAAGGAAAGAAACTTGACCGGACTGGAATAAATTCTTGCACATGACCATCACATTTTGTTTTAGCTAAGACATTTGACTCTCTCACTGCCTCTCTCCACCTAGATGTATAAATACGTTGGAGTGTTTTCTGGKGTTGAAGCTTCCGTTGGACACAAGTTGCCAGTCGAATAGACCTTCTCAACTTGTGCAATGTTTTTCCCATTTCAGACACATTTGGCCTTTTTTCCATCAAAATCAACAAGTATGAAATGGTCTAAAAACAAAGCTCGAAACTAAGTACGGCTCGAGATTTTTTTWCGCCTTTTTCGTGTTCTCCCAAAATCCCGCGTGGTTTATTTCACCAGGAACGCACGAAAATGTGTTGTTTTTTGCTTAAATATAGCACGTAGCCTCAAAGTAACGACCATCATATTTTCTTATACGGACGGTCGATRTGTTGAGGTTTGGAACTTACTTGGCTACAGCGAGTAAGACGTGAGGGTCGTGTTCACAGCGTTTCARRGCATCYACACTACGTGTTTTACGCTGTGGTCGGTTTTCCATGAAGATTGCTTCCGACCATATTATACCCGATGTCGGACATTCTTGTAAAGCTGCAACGACATGATATAAGAAAAATAAATGATAAATTCACACTTTTTACTGTATACTCGACGAAAGAGATCGAAAGAGTGATATATATCACAGAGCACACTACCTTTAGCCATGAGTGTCTTGGCAAAATCCTTCGTTCCTCCTCGAATCTCGATGCGAACAGCTTCAAGCCTACAAATGATTATACAGCATAAATTTATCCAACATTTATTAGAAATCATGATTGAACTAGTAAATCGTGTGAGTATCAATATTTTATTAACAAAACTCTATTCTATTTTATTTTTTTGACATTTTATTCATGAGTGTTGCATTCCTCCGTTTTTCGATACTGATGTTTTATTCATCAGTGMTGAATTCCTTTCTGATGATAATCTTTTATTTATCAGTCTTGCTTTACGTATGAAATACTAGCATTTTTATTAAAATTATAACACTGGAAAATGTCTATCAAATAAGCACCATAATTCTCACCATAATTCTGGGTTTTTGGGGTTTTTCTGTCGCCCTTGTTCTAAAACAGACCTTGCTTTTGTGGTATGACCTAGAAAAAACGCTTCAATTTACTCACCAAATCTTCGCTTTCAACTAAGATTTTTTAATAATCCAAGTACTTTGTTCATCGTAAAGACATAAAGACGAGACAAAGTCATAATATCGCCCTTCGCACAACCGGGCCCTAGATTTCTGCGCATGTATTGAAGTTGTTCAAAGTAATACATACACGGCAAAGCACCAAGAARCGGAAAACAAAACTCACCATTTTTCTCTTCAAGCCTTGCCCATAACAGCCAGATAGGTGATGAATGGGGACATTTTTTGACCTGTGCGAGTAAAATAGATTAAAGAGAKTCCATTCATATGAGGAGACGTCCGCATGGGRTTCCTGTGTTCAAAGGCAATATTTTGAAACAAGTCTTACCCCAAGTTTGTAAGCATCTCTTGCTTCATCGATTTTTCTTCTCTGTTCCTGAATTTGCCCTTTCATCATCCAAAGCTACAGAAAAGAGTAATCCCTTTTAGTTATTACCATACTGTTATAGCCCTGGTTCAGACGTCGATCTTTTGCTACGTCTTCTCTAATTGCATGTAGTTCACGATAAGCTCGGATTCAAATAATAATTTGCCCAACTTAACAATTCTACCAATGTCAATAAATTCAAAGTACGAAGTACTCAATAACTCAACTCTCRATTATATATTTTACTAATATGAATTGTAATCCATCGGCCTACTCCAATAATCAACTTTAGATATTTTGGTTCGATTACTATGTACAAAAGAACGCACACGAGGCACCGGGTAACAATGAATAATCTTGATTTATTGTTTTACTTTCCCGGAGCCTCGTAGTGCAATTCTTTTTTGCATTGTCACTAAACCAAAATATCAAAAGTCGGCTATTATTATTATTTTTTTCTATTTGTAGGCCAACTGTAGATTGATTTATTGACCCCATCAATTCGATTAGGAGTCTCAAGGCCGAAGTAGACACCAAAACATCTTCCTACAACCATCGCATACAACCTGTGGAAGCCAACCATACAACATGGCTACAACTGTCGTAGGTTATTAAGTAATTCTTACCTTAGCGAAGTCAGGATATTTTTGAACTGCATCATCAAGGAGATTGTTTGCCTGAACAAAATAAAGGTTCTTTCAATAAATTGTCAGCAAAGTAAGAATTGTCACAAGACACCATTATAGTTATCAAGATCGCCTACCACAACATCATTACTATGAAGATATATGTCATCATATGACCCGAATACACCTTTTACCAAAAAAAAAATGACCATCTTCAATTCTATTGTTTTAAGATTTAATATTGATTCCCTAAGAAACTATGGGATGCACAGTGTGCAAATCATAAACTATAGGGCTTTTAGAATGCTACGAGATTGAATATTATATCTTTTAAGATGATATTTAAAAACGTTTTAAAAAATGCGAAAAAAAACAACACATGTATTAGTTTAAATTATGAAGCCCGAAATTTTTGGCGAAAGAAATTTTTCGGTATACTATGCTATGATATGACAATGTGTGCTTTTGCCTCTTGGACATCCCATAATTTATTCCAAATTCAAAATGGCGGCCGCATAAGAAAAAACCGAATGTCTATTGTTCCAGGCCTAGCGGTAAGTAATGCTTTTATCGAGATTTTTTTAGTAAATTCTGGAGCTTTCCGTTATAAAATTATGAAAAGAATCTAGAAATTGATTTATTTTGACTGAAAATGAATGATAACGATGAATTCTCTTTGTGTCAAGCCGGTCAGTTCGGATAAATGTATAGCGAACAAAATTTATAGTGTCTCACCTCTGGGATATTTCCTAATACCCACTCAAGCTTAATGGACTTCATCATCACCTAGACAACACAAAACAAAACAACAGTAGTATTCAGAATTGCCCTAGTTCAATATGATGTCACAACATTCTGTTGTTTTAACGCTAGGGATTATGGTCGCCAGAGGGGATCAGAGTGACTGCATATCAAAAAACATGTACATGAGCTATCTATCAATGATAGATGATATACATCAAAACTCGATAATACACTAATTAAATTTCTACTTTAGGAAATTAGGAGATAATATACAGTCAACCCTCGCTATTACGGACACCCTCGGGACCGTAATTTAGTGTCCGCAGTAGCGAGAATCCGTAGTAACGAGAGTTATTTTCAGTCATTTCTTTATGTTTTTATCCGGGAATTCAGTATTTTGTGTCCGTAATATCGAGGTGTCCGTATTACCGGGAGTTGACTGTAAATGGTTTAAGATTTCCACTGTTTTTGAGCATCTTTTCAGATGTAAACATAATGTGACGTCATAATGAAATAGGGCAATTGAAATCATGGTGAGTTTCCTTCAAATAACAAGAGATTTCACTGATACTCATCGCAAAATCTTGAAACAAACCAGGAGTAGGCAACGCTGTACTCACCCGTGCTGTACATGCATTCATTCTAGCTCTTTGTAAAAGTTTTCTGTAAAAAAATAAACACAATAAATAACACATTAAATATTCATAAACCCGTGAAATACATTTTAGCGAACTTCACTTTAGTACTCTGTATGTTGAAGTTTACTCAATGTGCACCCAAGTGCTGTGGTCGGCGATCGTGACAAATGGCGCCATTTTTGAAAGTCGTGATTGTGTTACAAGACTGGTATTTACAAGACAAAATGTCGGCAGCCATTATACCAGTATTCACATTACAGTCATGATATATATTATGTAACAATAACATGATATTCATATGTGATGTAACTGGAAATTAGAAAAAAAACATGATGAAATGGATGGATGATTAAATCAATGAATGGGACTGTTCACCTTGCTCTCTGATCTTCGTTATTCTCACTTTCCAATTTCACAGCAGCAAGCCAAATTTCCTCGCTGTTTGGATTGGCTTGAAAGGCCAGAGCCAGGATGGACCGCGCGGCTGGGATATCACCCTGTAGAAGAGTACAATCTTAGACATATTACATGGGACTAGACTTATGTTTTCTGTAATATAC